CATTTGAACATATACTATATTTAACTGGCTTAAAACAGTTTGCTTAACACCAAAAAATTAAGCTGGAACATGATCAATTTAGTTTAATAAGTTAATTACTAAAAACATATGTTGCCATGACTTACTGATCATATAATTTATACAGTGCAGTTTTCATAAAATAAGAACTCCTATTAATTACTGAACAAATAATAATCCCGTTAACATGATTTCTGTGACACTTCTAGAGTAATTATGCTTTAAATTAAAATAAAATAAATACATTTAAAAATATTCATCTAGAAAACAGCTATTTTAACTTGTAACTCAGTTTCTATTGTATTTATAATCAAATAAATGCAGTTTGGGTGAGGAGGGGAAGAACGAGTTACACATTTGAATTTACCCCATATATATAATGACTTAGACAGTATGTTTTATACTTCCAACATATTGAAAAATTACAAAGCATTTAGATGAAAACTCTGTAAGAAATATTTTGAAACCACACTTTTCCTTCAACAAAAACAGTTCCTCGTATATTATCTTGTTAATGTCTTTAATCTTATAACTCTAACTTAGGGGAAACATCGCTGTTCCTTAATTCTATAATAACAAACATGAAACCTATTGCTCCTATTCTAACTTCCCTGAGCTTTGGCTCCATTATTATGACAACAAACATCTTTTTTCTGAAGTAAATCCTTCCATATGCTCTGCTCTTCTGATCTCAGCATGCCAACGAGAAGTGCATCAGACCAAACCCAAGTCAAACGATACACCAAACTCATAGCAGTGGATTTAAAACACATTAAATTTGCATCTGAAACATGATTAAAAGATAATCTTCCAGCATTCAAAACATTTCCAGCACCACTACCACCTTTTCAACTTTGCACAGGTCTGATAGGAAAGTGCATTGTTTTTTATTGAATAGGTTGCACACAGAAAGCTGGCCCATAACCCACCTGTTTCAGCTGTTTTTGCAGTCAATTACAATCAGTGTATCTCTACATTTTCCTGCCCTGGGAAAGTGGCCACCGGTGGAACATTCTCTGCTCTTTGTGTAGGTCAAAAGCAATGGCTCTGGGGACTCGCTGTGTTCCAGTTTCGTTACGCATGCTAAAACTATGCTCAAAAGGGGAAATGTTCTGCTAAAAGGAGGAAAGAAATACATATCCTCTGTACCCTTGAACACAGTGCACTGTAACAGCAGTTTAACTCTCTTGTTGTCTTCATTCTTGGACTGAGGTGAAAAGGCATGGGAATGCAAGAACCTGGATCTGCATGATTTTGGAGATGTGCTTTTAAATCTTAATTTTCATGTTGTACAAAGCTGATGGTGTAAAAGCTCTGCACAAATGTAAAGGTAAAAGGGAACATTTATAACGTTATATCTAAAAGAACCACTGCTGAAAGAGTTGCCAGGAATTTGGATTTTGTCATTTATATACATAGATCTGCCCACAAACAATGTTTGTTTCACCTCATACTATACACTTCAAGTTTTTACCATTAGGACAAAACATTTGGTCTAGCACAATTCATAGACTTTCACTTTTTAATAAAAAATATTCAAAAGTTGACTAAAAATTTTGCCACAATTTATTATTCATGGATATTTTTCATTTATTTACACTTTTGAATTGCATTTGGGGACCTTGAATACAACTTTTCAACATCAAAAGTTAAACAAAGTGACTTTTGTTGACTTTTTTTGTAGCAGTTTGAAATGATTTATTAGTCTACTGTATAAAAGTTGGTCATGTAAAATGAAGAAGCTGGTGTTAAACTGCTAGTATTCTTCGTGTACTACCCTGCTGGAAAAAAACAGCTTAAATCAACCTAAGCTGGTTGACTGGTTTTAGCTAATAGACCAGCCTGGTTTTAGAGATGTTTTGGCCTGCATTTTCAGGCTGGTTTCCAGTCATTTTCAGCCTGGTCTTAGTTGGTCAGGCTGGAAATTAAAGAGCTTAAACCAGCTAAAACCAGCTTAACCAGCCTGGTTTAAGCTGAACATCACTGGTTTTGGCTGGTCAAGCTGGTTTTAGCTGGTCATCTCCCAGTCTGACCAGACCAGGCTGGAAACGGCTGGAAAACAGCCTATAAATGGCCGAAACCCCTCTTAAACCAGGCTGGTGGACCAACTAAAAATAGCCTACTAGTCTGGTTTAAGCTGTTTTTGTAGGGGAGGGTTGTGGCTAGATCAGGTACAATTGCAGGCGGAAGTTCATGACATATATTTATGTTTTTTATAAAATTACCCAATAAATTGTATTTTATAATGCCTACCCCCACCCCAACCGTCACAGTAGGCTACTGTAAAAATATAAATTATTATTATATGTTACAAAAATGATGGCGTATAGGTGCTATTTAGATGTTAAAATCAGCTTGTTACGCTGCTTCATGTTGCACACTGACATTTTCCTATTATATTGTTCTGCTTTGTCTTTATAGTCATGGACATACTTGTTTGTAGAGCAAGTAGTTTGACCATTTTCTGCTGTTTATTATTCCTAGTCATTTCTCCCATAGGCAACTGAACCGGAAGTTCTAAAACAAGCACCAAAACAAGCACACTTCCTCATTTTAGAATAAGGTCAATATACATTTTTCCTGATATAGTACATTGTTTCAAGGTTATTTTCATAGTTAGAGGTAAACTGCAGAGATCAAGGTGGAATCTAAAAATGTAAATAAAAGGAAAAGGTCATCTTGAATTACATAATACAGGAAATTGTTAACTAATTAACAGATCATTTTTACATCGCAAGGTAAAATTGTTCAAGCTGGGAATTTATCTCTTACTGTAAACTATAGTATTTGCCCTTTGTTTATTATGAACAGAGTTTGAATTCATCTAAATTGTAATGAACTGTTGATTGTTTAACATTTCAATTGATTGGGTTATTAAAGGTTATTAAAAGCTGAATTTTTATACACCGTAAAAACGATATCAATATGTCAAGTTTTTATATTAATTTTATTATAAGTTAAACAAGATTAAACTGGTTTGAATTCAGTTTAATGTAAGTTGAAAGGACTAAAGTGTTTGACTTCAACTTCAAGAAACGGAATTCATTAGTGTTAGTTGATTTATCCCCAGAGATTTCCCAAACAAGACCAGAAACAGTACATTAACGTCAAATAATGAAGCAATAATAGACTATTAAATTTATCAGGAAACTTTACTTGTTAGGCTGTTTAGAAATGACATTTCCTCACAAATACTGTGGGAAAAGTCATTCTTTGTTGCTCCTTAAGGAGGGCTGTGACAGTTTAAGTTATAGTCATAGAATAATTGTACCATTTTTTTAAGAACTGAAAGGAATATAATTAAAGGTTTAAATTAAAGGTACAATTAGAGATTTCTTGGACACATTAATGATTGTGGCAGTTCTGAAATCGTCATTTTTGAGAAGACATGAAGCTTCTTGATCATGCTAAAACACTTTTTCACATCTTTTATTATGTAGTAAGTTTTATAGACTTTTGCTAGACTGTTTCAACCCAAAGTTGGGAAAAATATGGACAAACCCAAAGGTTGGGATTAAATTGTAATATAATATGGGTTAAAAAAAGAACCCAACCCTCGAGTTTGCAATATTTTAGCCAACTTTAGATTGAAACTGCCTATTGTTTTAGATTGTAGTATCCACATAATATTCTACAACAAAATATATTTAATAATATTTTTATATACTTTTTGTTGAATAATACAACAGTATTTATTTTAAAATATACAAAACATCACAAGTACAGTTATTATTATTATTGTTATTTTTACATAGTCTATTGAATAATAAAATATGTTACATTCCTACATTTTGTTAATGCATTGTAACAATACAAAACTTTAAATAACTTGCATGAACTGTACAAACATTTTAATTGGATTAATTAACATGACAATTGCAAATGAATTTGTATAAAAACAAACCCAAAGGTTGAGATCAAAGTTGAATATAAAACGGGTTATCTAAGAAAAAAACAACAACCCTTGAGTTTGCTTTATTTTAGCCAACTTTAGATTAAAACTTTTAGATTGTTGTAACCACATAATGTTTAGAAACAAAATATATTTATTATAATGTTTAATAAACTTTTTGGTGAATAATGCCAACATATATATTTTAAAATATATAAAAACATCACAAATAGTTATTAATAATATAACTACATAGTCTATTAAAAAACAATATTATGATGCGTTCCTACATTTTTGTCAATGCATTGAAACTTAATAATTATTATGTAACTTTTAACTTTAAATAACTTGCATGAACTGTACAAACATTTTAATTGGTTTAATTTACCAGACAACTGCAAAAGAATTTGTATAAAATCAAACCCAAAGGTTGGGATTAAATTTGAATATAATATGTGTTATATATATATATATAAAAAAAAACAATGCTTAAATTTGCAATATTTTAGCCAATTTAAGATTAAAACGACCCAGCATTTTTTCAGATTATAGTAGGAGTAGTATCCACATAATATTCAACAACAAAATATATTTAATAATTTAGTTATATTTAATTAACTTTTTATTTTATATGTGTATTTAATAAACATCACAAATAGTTATTAATATTATTACAGTTTATTAAATAACAAAATTATTTTTCACAATACATTTTTATTAATGCATTGTAACGTAATAATAATTTTGTGTTTTTTTTACTTTAAATAACTTGCATGAACTGTACAAATATTTTAATTGGTTTAATTTATATGACAATTGCAATTGCAAAATGAATTTGTATAAACTAAACCCAAAGGCTGTAATAAAAATCTGTGTTATATAAAACAATAACCAAACCCTTGAGTTTGCAATATTTAAACCAACTTTAGCTTGATTTTTTGTTATATTGTAGTATCCACATGCGTGTGGTTTATACCTTGTTGTGATTGAACGCTGAATCTCTGCTCTGGATTTTTCTTGAAAGCGTTGACACATGCATTTTGACTAAGCCTGTGTTAAAACAGCAGGGATCAACAAAGCACAACTCAGCTGAAGGCAAATAAAAACAACTTTATTCAAAGCACCATAAAGACTGATAATAAATGCATTTTAAAAGGGTCAGTGAGCATTTGCTTTGGTGTCAAAAATAACATGAGATTTTCAGTAGAGAAGTAACATTTCACTTTGGCTTTCTTTTCTTTCTGTTTTTGCTCATTGAACTGAGCCTGGCATCTTCAAATCCAGATTGGATTACTTCATGCCTCCTTCACATATGTCCTGACAGCCACCACATCACCCATCTTGCATTTCTGACAAAAGAAGAACAAGGCTGTGAATTCCTTGAATTAATTCAACTGTGAAAGCATCAAAAAGTGGAGGGGAGGGGGGGTAGTCTAAGACTTTATGCTTCGGCCATATTATTCTGTACATTTAGTTCAAGCTAATAGACAGATGGTAACTGCTATTATGCTAGACTACATCAGTTTATATATATTTTTACAGCAATAAAAAGAATTACTTGCTAACACTATTAGATTTTTGTTAAAACTTTCATTGTTTGATAATTATATATTTTATGAACATCGAATTTTCATTACTGCTCAACAACTGCTACTAAACAATAGTTGTAGTATTTTTTTTTAAATATACCAGTTTATACATAAAGAAATGCAGAAAGCAAATCCCAATATATTCGTTTATTTACTCATTTATTTTATTTTAAATATATCCAGGTTTCCTTAACATTAAAATGATTATAAAATATAAAAATGTTTTGGAATTGGGAAACCAAAGTTATTATTATTATAAATAACAAATTAATTAACTAATTAGTTTCTCAAGCACAAAATATATTTAAGAATATTTTGAAAATTTTTAATGCAATCCTTCATTAAGCGCACATTTTGCATTTTTATTCTTGTTCTTAATACAGTTTATTAAATAACAAAATATGATGCAATATTCCAACTTTTTGTTAATAAATTTTGACGGGGAAATTTAGCCATATTTCAGAATTCAATTGGTTCTCAATATTAAAAATGTGGTGTGGTTACATTAACCACCAATTGTGAGAAAAAAAAATCTTTAAGATATAAAGTCAGAATTGTACATTTTAGAATTATATAACAGTATTTTATATTTGATTGGGAGTTAATATTTTGCTAATTCAGACTTCTTTTTTCCGTCAGAACTACATTACTAAATTTTTACATTATAAATCCAGAATTGCAAAATTTATATCACAATTCTGAAACAAAGGTTTTAATGAAAGATATAAATTACTGCTTGTGATTATGAACACTGACTGTATTCTATATTTAATTGTGTTAGCAAGTCAACAAATAGTGGGTTAACAATTCTGATAATTGATAATATAAGAATCTGATAATATACTATTGTAAAATATAATGTTTTAAGTTTTTTTTTTTTTTTACTTTAAATGACTTGTATGAACTGTATAAACATATTAATTAGTTTGTAAATTGCAAATGAATTTGTATAAAAAATTTAAAACTACTTCTTATTTTAACACATAATACTAAATAACAAAATACAGCCTGCTATTTAATATTTCTTAACTTGTAATAGACAAGAACTGTAAAGCTGTAACTTGTAAAAATGAAAACAACTTGCATTAAGAGCAAAAAAAAACAAAGTTTAACATTATAAAATACAATAAAGTGCAATAGAAATAATCTTATAAGTATCTTTAAATGGTCTTAATATTTTAATTAAATCATGTCAACGTGCTACTCATAAATCAAAGCGCATCCTTACAGCTATTAATTTCCCATCCGACACCTCTCTCTCTATTGTGGACTCCTTGCCGTCCCAGGTCTGTTTCTGCACAAGTTTGCCGTTCTCGATAGTCATGACAGTCTGCAGATAAAGACAAAAAGAAGCAGAAGGAGAAGCCCGTTAACCTCACATCATCAAAAACGGCTTGGAAATTAATATATTCCGTTCGGTCCGGTACAAACCGTGGTCTTTCTGTCATCCGCCGTGGTCTCCTCGAACGGCTCGTTGAGCTTGAATTTGATCTCGGTGGTTTTGAAGGTGCTCTGAGACTTCATGCAGATCAGCCCCTGCTCGTCCACACACACCACTAGATTGGGTTTGGTCCGGTTTCCAACCTGACGAGTAGCAAAACCCACACCTGAAATAGGAAAATGCACAAATTCAGTCACGAAAAGTATTAATGAGAAGAAACAGCAAAGAATAGTCCACATTCCCATAGTTAAATTATGAATAAACTAATAATACATCAGTTTACCAAACTAACTTTAACTGAATTACCATACACTTACTAACAAAACAATTACAGCATCTTTTTAAAACTTTATTAACTATTAAATAATAAAATTAAATCATACCTATAGCCTTCATGTACTCGTCAAAGTTGTCGCTGGTGGTCATTTTCCACGTTCCTACGAATTTGTCAACCATTTTCCCGAATAATGATGCTCCTCTACTTTTCAATCTCGCAACAGCTGTAAATTGAGATTTGATCTGATCTGCTCGAGTGACTGCGGGGTTTTTCAACAGCTCCTCCAGCACGTGCTCGATCACAGGAGCCAATCCGATGCTGCGGCGTCACCGCGCGGAGTTCCTCATCCTCCCGCCCGCAAACGCGATGCAGAAACTGGGGAAGGGTTCGAGTTTTTTGGGACCACTAAAAACGGTCAAATGACATTTACTGGGTCAGAGGACAATCATCACAAAGATCGTGCACATGAATAGATGGAACATCTGGACTGGAGAATGACGCGTTTTATCAGTGAAAACCTTTACTTGGTGAAAAGATGGCCTTTTGTGACAGACTGCAAAAGCAAAGTGTTTTTATAGTTAATAACTACTTAATAACGTACTTGTTTCAACAAATATACAAACCAATAAGTAACACTTCATTATGATGGTCCATTTGAATATTACTGTATGCTTAATATCTGCTGATACTGCTCCTTCAACAGACTAGCAACTTTACAAGTACAGTACATGTCAACTTACACTAACCCTAAACCCAATACTAACACCAACTCAGCAGTCTTCCTATAATCTATGAGAATTGGTTGCCATGTTGATGCAACATAACTTAAATTCAACAAACGGACCATCACAATAAAATGTGACCAACAACTTCTCAAAAAGATGTAGGCCCTAATGTTAGACGAAAAGTTTTTTCATCTATAAGCTTTCATATCAATTATTATTTAGTCTAAATGAGGAAGAAGTTTCGAGTTCCGCTGTGTGTGTGTATATATATATATATATATATATATATATATATATATATATATATATATATATATATATGTGTGTGTGTGTGTGTGTATATATTCTCAATATTGGAAATGTGAGGTGGTTATATTAAATAGCAATTGTGAGGAGAGACTCTAAGATATAAAGCCAGCATTGAAAATCATAGAATTATATAACCTTATATTTTATATTTGATTGCGAGTTATTTTTTGCTATTCTGCCTTCTCACATTATAAATCTACAATTGCAAATTTATATCACAATTCTGAAATACAGGTTTTAATAGCAGGAAATAAATTATTTCTTGTGACTTATGAACACTGACTGTATTCTATATTTGTGTTAGCAAGTTAACAAATAGTGAGTTAACAATTCTGATTTTTTTCCACAAAATTACTCTCACAAGTTTGAGCTTTGAATTCTGTATAAAAGTCTTTATCTCTAAACTGAGAAAAAAAGTCAGAATTGTTCATTGTTAACAATAAACTTAGAATTATATAATTTGTTCAGCTGTGAGCCAGCATCTTGCCATTTTGACCTTTTACATTGCATTCTTGCATTTTTAGTGACACATTAGCATATTACAATTTATATTTTCCAGTTTTTTTTTTCTATAAACTATAAACTGCTTCTATAAACTGCAAGCCAGGATAGAAACTAGTATCTATAAGCATTAAAAACCAACTGTGAAGTGTAAACTCCAAATCAACATTTGTTTTTCCTGGATTGCCTTGATTTTTAATTATAAAATTAAGACAGTAAGGTCCGACTTTGCTTTGACAAAAGTCTTGTCACTTAACAGAAATAATGTACAATATAGAATATAAAGTCATGCTGCAGTGGAAGAAGAATAAATATTGTGTATGACTCCCAGAGTTCATCAAGTTCATCTTCAATGCCTCCTCCATCATCTTAGCCCAGACAATAATGTTCATGTCTGGTGAGTGGGCTGGCCAATCCTGTAGCACCATGACTGCCTTTGCTTTCTGAAGTACGAGAATGAGCGCTGTCCTGCTGAAGAATTTGCCCTCTGCTGTAGTTTGTAATGTAATGTGCGACACAAATGTCTTGATACCTCAGGCTGATGATGTTGCCATCCACTCTGCAGATCTCACACACACACACACCCATACTGAATATAACCCCAAACCATGATTTATCCTTCACCAAACTTGACTGATTTCTATGAGAATCTTGGGTCCATGCGGGTTCCAATAGCTCTTCTGCAGTTTTTGACGACTGGGATGCAGTTAAACAGATGATTCATCTGAAAAATCAACCGCCTGCCACTTTACCAATGATTAATTTAGAAGTCAAGTTATTATTTGTTGCTTTTACAACTGGGATCGATGACAAGACTTTTGTCAGGTAGTGTATAAAACATACCTCTCTAGATTAAAAAAAGATACTGCAAACAATATAAGACACATACCATATTTATTACACACCCATGCACACATATATACAGAATCTCCAATAAACTACTTCTTGTCTCCTGCTTTAGCCTGAGGATCTTTGGCACTGCAGTGGCTCTGTAAGGCAGAGAGGATTTCTTTAATTGTTAGATTTGATCCCTTCATCAGCAGCCTTTCTCCATCCACTGCAAAACACCACAACACGTGTTAGACATTATGAAACATCACTATGTCCAACATCGAGAGTTATTCACTCACCAAACATGACATCAATGGTGGGCTCCGATCGGTCGTGCTTCACTTGTGTGATAACCTCACAGTTCATATTTGTGGATCTGGCTCTATCAGACCAGACAATGGACAGAAACTCTCTGCAGGAAGAAAGTAATACAGAAGATTTGTAAGAGATGGGAAAGACTGGAGTGTGTTTTGGGACTTCACGGGTGGGAATTTTTTCTCCTGTTTTAGGACCTTTCTATGCATTTTTGTCATCTAATTACTTTCTTTAAAAAAAACTTCTGCATAAGCATTGTGTTAAAATGTTTAGAAAAAAATCAAATAATGGTGCTAATATTTAATAATATCACATATTAATATACATAAGTGTGTTTTTTTTAAAATAGTAAACTAATACGTCTTTTGAAACACGCAAACTATCTGTATTCTGCATGTTTGATAGTGAACTATAATATATTATAGAAAAGTGCAGCATATATTGTGCATTACATATTAGTATGTAGAAGTATAAACTGCATAATGATATCATATAATAATAATAATAATAATAATAATAATAATAACAATAATAGACATTAAAGTGTTGACTATCGAGTGATGAGTATCTAATGTGGATTATTGCATGTTGACTATCGAATATGGATTATCGAGGGTATATGGAGTAATGAATATCGAGTGATGACTATTGAGTGATGGCTATCAAGTTATGACTGCCGAGTGATGACTATCCAGTGTGAATTATCGAGTGTTGACTACGGAGTGATGACTATCGAGTGTGGATTATCGAGGGTTGACTATCGAGTGTTGACTATCGAGTGTTTACTATCGAGTGATTGGACTATCGAGTGATGACCATCAAGTGCAGATTATCAAGGGTTGACTACCAAGTGATGTCTAGAGTAATGTCTGGAGTGATGACTACTGAGTGTTGACTACAAGAGTGATGACTATCGAGTGTGAATTATCGAGAGTTGCCAACCGAGTGAAGACTATCGAGTGTGAATTATCGAGTGTGAACTGTCGAGTGATGACTATTAAGTGTGGATTATTGAAGGTTGACCATCAAGTGATGACTATCGAGGGTTGATTTTTAAGTGAAGACTATCGAGTGTGAATTATCTAGTGTTGACTATCAAGTGTGGATTATTGATGGTTGACTATTGAGTGATGACTGTCGAGTGATGACTATTGAGTGTTGACTATCAAGTGATCGGACTATCGAGTGATGACCATTGAGTGCAGATTATCAAGGGTTGACTACCAAGTGATGTCTAGAATGACTACCGAGTGATGACTATCGAGTGTGAATTATCGAGAGTTGACTACGGAGTAATGACTATCAAGTGTAAATTATCAAGTGTGAATAATCGAGTGTTGACTACCGAGGGTGATGACTATAGAGTGTGGATTATTGAGGGTTGACTATCAAGTGATGACTATCTAGTGTGGATTATTGAGGGTTGACTATCAAGTGATGACTATCGAGTGTTAACTATTGAGGGTTGACTTTAGAGTGATGACTATCGAGTGTGAATTATCGAGTGTTGACTACCGAGGGTGATGACTATAGATTGTGGATTATTGAGGGTTGACTATCAAGTGATGACTATCGAGTGTGGATTTTTGAGGGTTGACAATCAAGTGATGACTGTCGAGTGATGACTTTCGAGCGTTGACTATCAAGTGATTGGAATATCGAGTGATGCCAATCGAGTTATGACAATTGAGTGTGGATACCGAGAGATGACTCTCGAGTGATGAGTGATGACTAAAAAGTGATGACTACAGAGTGTGAATTATCGAGTGTTGACTACGGAGTGATGACTATCGAGTGTGGATTATCGAGGGTTGACTATCGAGTGTGAATTATCGAGGGTTGACTATCGAGTGTAGATTATTGAGAGATGACTATCTAGTGTGGATTATTGTTTGCTGGTAACAATAATGTATTAATTCTTATGATCGAGAGTGAGCTATGGTTCATAAAATAATAAAGACTGTGTTGTAATTACAGAAATATAAGTGCAACACTGCGATCATTTTAAAATAGCAGCTCATAAAAACTGGCCAAAACATTACCAAAACATTAGTTTATATAAAACTTCTCTTTCTTACTAGAATCACTGTACAGTATATTACAGTTTTTTCTCAGTGGCTTTGGTGCATTTCTCACAATATTTACATTTGCACAACAGTTAATGCATTTCTTAAAACAATTTTACAAACTGAAAAACCCAGTTGATAACCTGCAAAAGCATGTCACATGCTCAAAATGGAGAACTCATTCCAAAAAGCACGTATTCATGTCAATAAAAGTGCCGGTGTCATCAAGATGAAAAGTCCTGACACCATTGTTAATGAACAAGATAGTCAAATGGCTTTGTCATGTTTTCATTATGACAGTTTACTCTCAACATTTTTTCTAATGCAAAAAAGTCAGATGTTGGTGACACGTCCTGAAAATGCTCAAGACAGCACTGTATACTATTTGCACAGCCATTTGAAAACTACAGTAAAGTTCGACATCACTGCATTTAGTGAGGTATCTGAGTACAAGACACTGAATATGTATCTTTCACATTTTACTGCATATGCTCTAATTTATTCACAGCATTGTGCAAAAGAATAAATACACCCTTATTTACAACAAACACAAACTTCCTTTGGGTAGAGCTGTGCACGACTGTAAACAATATTGCAGAACATATTGAAACTGAACCAACAACACACATAGGTTGAAATCCTAAAAATGTCTTTCAAATTTAACAATTTCATAATTGTTCAATTCAGAAGATATTTTTAGGAAAAAAAATATATATTTTTTTAAATAAAATTAGCTTGACAGATTTTGCCAACTAGTTAGACATTTTTGTATGTAAAGACTCAATTAATGAAATGAGGACTATTAGTTTTATATGGAACGACTATTCAGCATTTATAAGTTTAGTTAATTTTGACTGACATGACATAAGCAAATGATAATGTTAGAAACAGCAGAGAGTTGTATGAAAGCAATTGATGCATGTCCAAAAGCATTTGCAATTTGTTGGAAGGAAACTACTATGATGTGCAAAAATGACTAATTGTTTTGAAAAATGCATTAACTGTTGTGCAAATGTAAATAATGTTGTGAGAAATGCACCAAACTACAGAAAAACTGTGAGAACCATATGCCTTCCTAAGAAAAGATGGTGCAAAAACATATTACAAGAAGGGTCATTCAGAAGGTGGTCATCTGCTTTTAAACATATGCACTTAATAAGTTTAACTCCTAGGAGCCATATCTTGATCCTCTAAAGGAGGAATGCTCTAAAGTGAGCTGTCTGTCAACTGTGACGGAGTGGGTCTTGAAGCAGGGCAAGCAAGATAAAACCTGGTGTCTGGTTAGCTTTTGCATCACACTCTGCAGCAACCGGTGTTCCTGTGTGAGTGTCAGACTTATTCTTCGAAAAGAATAAAATCATTTTGGAAGTAAACCTTGTGAGACTTTGTCTCTTGATCAGCAAGAGCAACTCTTCTCGACAGGGCCGGAGTGGGACTCATTTTCAGCCCTGGAGTTTCAAGCCAGACCGGCCCACCTCAGTTCACGACTGTCTATTTTAAAATAAGATCATTTCCAGTTCAGTTTCTAGTGACACTATCACGTCTTTTTCAAGAAAACAGCTGCTTTACAAATTCAAATTTTCAAAAGCCCTAACAGTATTACATGTCTTAACAATAAAGATGAAAAAAAATAATAATCATAATTTTCCAGGTGAGGTTCGAACACGGGTCAGACGGCGTTAGTAACGCAATGTGATTACCACTGGTCCACTATAGCGCTAATGCAGCTGAACAAAAAAAAAGTATTGGACCTGCAAGACATGGTATTACTTTCTATTGATGGCTTAATCTCCCTTTTTTAAATTTCTGATCAAGTTATGTCAGATTTATTAATAGTGAATCATCTGATTTTCATTGAGCAGGTGTATTATTCATTAATATTAATTATTCGAATTCGCTGTTTGGGGTCGAATGATGATAGTCAACGTTACATCCTCATTAACGTTAGTTAATCTGCAGGCTGCAACCAGCAGGTCCTACACCACCCAATCTGCTCTGATCTAGGATCCAACCAGGGAGTCCGAAGACCATGGCCTCTAGCATCTGTCATTAGAGCACCTTTAAATGTCAGAGGAGTGAGGTTTACCTGCGCAGCACTTCACTAGCTGGCCTCAGTTTCATAAGTCCAGCAGTATGGCTGAATTAACAGTATTTGAAAAACAGCAGACGAAAAGTTCTCAGAAAAGTAGTGTGCATTCGGTGGACACTTTACTATCCCAAAAGTCAGCACAAGAAAATTTATACATAGGAATGAAGGAACACAACTGATGCGAGTAGATTGTGTGATAATTAAATGGTGAATGTAGTATGTTTTAATTGCACTACTATCCTTTACATTCATACTATATAAAACATACTCTTCCAACAGTTTTAAAGTTTAAATTCAAATGCTGAACCTACACGAGAAGCATGCCATTTCGGATGCAGCAATTATTGTGCAACTTCTTTGGGGGTTTCTGGGTTTCTTCTTTGTGGGTATTTGAAGATTCTACATTAGAGCGCCCCCTGGCCTTCAGTGGAGATTTCATAAAACTGTGCTTTCCTACGAAGATGTGCATGACATTCACTAATTTGCTTAATTGTACAACCCTATTTGAAATGGCCAAATTTCAACTAACTTCCCAAGATCTTTGAGTATAATCGTTATTATAGGGTATATGCAGAGCTAGTGTTTCTTCCCATAATGATAAACTTCCGGTGAACGGTTAATGTGACTTTTTTCCATTTTATCTGGTTCCTTTTACAGCATTAATATTGTAATGTAATTAAAATACAATCAGTTAAATAGGTTTTGGCATTCATTTAGTTGCTCAAGCATAAAATGAGACAAAAAGCAGTTTACTCGCATGCGGCCGTCAGAATCGGCAGGCTAGGGCTGAAGCTCTATTGAATATGCTGGGGTAAAATAAATGCTCATATTATAAAGGCATGGCGGGAGGAAATGCAATTTAATGCAGTGACTCTAGTACAATCTGAGACCCACTTTATATCAGATATCACTCAGCCAGTGGAGATAGCTGATGTTTAAAGAAAACAGACCTTAAACGTGCCGATTTTTGCAATGGCATACAGTTTCCCAAAAGCGCTTAACTTAGGCAACTGACAAATTGAAAAGTCCTTTAGCATACCTCAGCATCTACCTTATTAATCATGATAAATACTTTACATTTCATTAATTTACAATTATTTAATCACTGATAATTTTACATTCATTAATAAATAATAATAGGGGTTTAGACTCTTTGTATAATCCCTTCATCAGTTATTTTGTCATCTTTTATCAGTTATTCAACAACAAAAATAATCAACATGTGGAAGGAAAGTGTACGCATCATGAAAATTGGTATACTGTGCAATTATCAATAATTATAACAAATGTATTAGTGTTAAACTCTTTTGACTGATCACTCTTAGCCTGCTGTAGTTATTTGGATTACTCAGAAAGGGACGCCAGAGGTTTTACAATACAGATAATTCATCCTAAAATGAAATTGTACTCACTATTTACTCACCCTCAAGTGGTTTTAAATCTTTGTTATGAGTTTCTTTACTCTGTCCATCACAAGAATGATATTCTGAAGAAAGCTGAAAAACAATAACTATGTAACCAAAAATAAATACTTTAAATGTCAATGTTTACAAGTTTTCAGCATTCTTCAAAATATCTTCTTTTGTGTTCAAAACAGAAAAATGCAAACAGCGAAGGTAAAGTAAATGGTGACTGTTCATTTTTGGAAGAATTAACGTAACGTTATCCTCTTACTTTATACGAATGCAGTTGAATCATGATGAGCTTCATATTATCAATGCGACATCATAAGCATGTTAGCTTTCCACAAATATATTTGCATATAATTCCGAATTATCGATGTATAGTACCGTTCACTTGACAAGTCAAACGTCGGGTTTGGAGAATAGTTCGGCAGTGGCGAAGGCAACAATATGAAATGTTACGAATAACCTGCACCAGAAGAGCTGATAAAGTCATGCTCAAGAACAAGATTTACTTTACCAGACATAACGTTACTCGTTCAACGTTAACCATAATCACGAGACGTAAATCAACGTATGTGAAGAATTCTTACCGTGCGGAGCGAGCATTATTATCAAAAGGACAAAACTGTACAATGATTTGCTTAACCGTCTTCAATACTACTCCTGCCTTCTTGGACGCCGCCATCTTTCTGTACGTGACCTTTCACCTGCTCGTGACGTAGGCATGCGGCTCGTCTAGAAGATTTTTGTGTAATATATATTCACATAGTAATACATTCAAACTCGTCAAATATATTTAGATTTTATTTATTAGTTTATTACTTTTAATTTATTTTCGTATTTAAAAACATTTTACTTTATTATTTGTACTACGTCATATAAATAAATAAATAAATAATGAATAAATAAATGAATGAATGAATAAATAAAAAAATAGTCAATGCTTTTTTTATTGAATCTTTATGTATTTAAATTGTTTTATTGATATTCAAAAAAACTTCCTATTAATTAAATACCTTATATGAATTACAATAATTTGTAAAGAGATGTGAAAGCATTTTTAAGCATGGACTGTAAATTAAAATAAATAAACAGATACATACATACAATACATAAATAATACAATAACAATTTCTGATACATATTGCACTCAAAACATTATGAGTCTATAATGTTATAAGTAAAGTTATATCATGTATAACATTATATATTATATAAATATAAATAAATACCCAAATATTGCTTAATAAATAAATGAGTAAACAAATCAATAAATTCCAGCATAAATAAACAAAACAGATAAATACATATGTAAGTAAATAAATAAATGTATATTAAAATCCTGAGGAAAAAAAACTAAGCTCAAGAATGAATAAACATTTGAAAGGAGGGAAAATAAACTTTTTAGTTTAGCATTTTCTTATTCCCCCAACATTCCTATAATTTATTTAATTATTTACCTGCCCGTGCTATGAAGTATTTATATACTTATTCCTACTTATAGGAATGTGTGCATTTTTATACGCATAAATTTATTTATTTGCATTTTATTATTTATTATTAATTTATTTATTTATTTATTTATTTATTAGTTCATTTATTTATGAAGGAATTTATAGTTTTATTTACTCATTTATTTGTATATTTGCCTATTTATTTATTTATTATTTTATTTATGCAAAAATTTACAGCTTAATTTACTAATTCATTTAAATATTTGCATATTTATTTATTTATTATTTTAATCAGGCGGGAATTTATGGCTTTATTTACTCATATATTTAAATATTTGCATATTTATTTATTTATTGTTTTATTCACGCAGGAATGTACGGCTTTATTTACTCATTTAGTTATATATTTGCATATTTATTTATTATTTTATTTATGAAAGAATTTACCGCTTAATTTACTAATTTACTTAAATATTTGCATATTTATTTATTTATTGTTTTATTTATTCAATAATTTACAGCTTAATTTACTAATTTATTTAAATATTTGCATATTTATTTATTATTTTATTTATGCAAGAATTTACAGCTTAATTTACTAATTTATTTAAATATTGGCATATTTATTTATTTATTTATTTATTTATTTATTTATTCAAGAATTTACAGCTTAATTTACTAATTTATTTAAATATTTGCATATTTATTTATTTATTATTTTATTCGTGCAGGAATTTACAGCTTTATTTACTCATTTATTTAAATATTTCCATATTTATTTATTTATTTACGCAGGAATTTACAGCTTTATTTACTCATTTAGTTATATTTGCACACTTATTTATTTATTATTTTATTTATGCAGGAATTTACAGCTTAATTTACTCATTTATTTATATATTTGTGCATTTATTTATTTATTTTATTTGAAATATATGGCTTAATTTACTCATTTATTTAAATATTTGCATATTTATTAATACATTTTTTGTTTTATTTATGCAGGAATTTATTAATTTATTTACTAATTTACATGTATTTTTGTATTTATTTATTTGGTTTTTGCAGGTTTTTTTCTCCGTACATATATAGTCAGTTTTTTATTAATATAATATTTTCATATATTTGTTTATACATGTTTGCCCTAATATTTAATATATATTTATAACAATGTTTTATCGTTCATTTATGCAGCTGTGGGGAACTAGTTCAACATTTTTATATTCAAAGACTCAAGTAATGAAATGAGTACTATTAGTTTTATATGGAATGACTATTCAGCATTCACAAATTTGCTTAATTTTGACTGACATGACATAAGCCAATTATAATGTTACAAAACAGCAGAGAGTTGTATAAAAGCAATTGATGCATGTCCAAAAGCATTTGCAATTTGTTGGAAGGAAACTACTATGATGTGCACAAATGACTAATTGTTTTGAGGAATGGATTACATGCTGTCCAAATGTAAATAATGTTGTGAGAAATGCACCAAAGCGACTGAGAGAAACTGTAATAAAAAGCATTTTATTGATGAAACGTGAAACACCTCCAGCAGATGGCGCAAGTGTATAGAGTATAATACATGTACGACACGGTTTACCTTCGACATAATTGTTCTGAGTTAATTTATTTATTTCCAAAAGAGTTCCATAATATTCCACAAATCTGTTTAACAGACTTAAACGTAAATTTTTTAAAATATGTGTTCTTCAGCAGAACATCAAAGGAGATATTAGGCTGAAACTGATCAGTGGAGCAGGGACATACAGTGACATATTGAGGAGCTCAAATACACTGAAATATGATAACTGCTGCTTGTTCAAACTACCTGTTTAAAATGAGCTGAAACAACGCAATTCTTGTAATTTCTTTGGCCAACTTCTTTGTTTTATGTTCAGTCCACTTATATGTGTAAAGCATTAAGTTAACATAAGCGTTTTGTGTTGGGACAACATGAAGGAATTGCGTTAGCCCAACTACCTGGTTAGGGCATTTGTAGTTCCCAGCATGCTTTGCGTGTGATTGAATTAATTATTTATGTTAACAATAAAAAGTAATCTTAGGTGTATAAAGTTAGACCTTTGATTTAGAGTTTAATCTTCACATTAGTTTGACGATTTTGAAGATTTTCATGTGCTTTGAGTTTTGAGATCACCATCTTGCAAAAGCACCCATGCTTTGGCTGTTGGCTGCTTTATTTGCAAAAAAGCAGTTTGTTTACTCGCTCAGTGAGCAATAACTGTCCTAAAATTAATTCTGAGATCAATGTTAATCAATTACTGTATATATTATATGCTTCAAATGGCTCTTTTATTTAATTTAGGATTCCTTCAAATAAAACTACACCTTAGAAATAAAGGTACAAAACCTGTCACTGGGGTGGTACCTTTTGAAAAGGTACACTTTTGTACCAGAGAGGTGGACATTAGTACCTTTAGCGCACACTTGTGTACCTTTAAGGGTTACTTTTGTACCTTTAAGTTACTGTGAGGTACAAATTTGTACTTTTTAGGTATTAATATGTACCTTTAAGGTACTGTTAGGAACAAAAACGTACCTTTTGAAAAGGTACCAGCTCATTGACAGATTTTGTACCTTTATTTCTGAGATTGAGAGTTTAAAATGTAAGACACATAATAGACATACATGATATGAGATGTTTGAGTTTAAGTTAATTAAAAATACAAATGTATTTCAACTTTTATTTGATAAAATCATGTTTGACCAACTCAATTGCATTTAATTGTGCAAAATTTTTTTTTTAGTTGGTGCAAAACAAATCTATTGGATGTAAATCCTGCACTCAATTAAATTGAGTTCATCCAATGAGTTATTTTTTTGAGTGTAGACAAAAGGGCGAGTTTCTTATTTATTAAACGTTTTTATAAACAAGATATATTGGTGATTCAGAAAATGCAAGTCAACGGCTATCTGCATTTTGAGAGCAATGAAAACCAATTTAGGCAAAACAAATTTAATACACATGCCTTTTAGAGATACATGGAAGTCTCATAAATTAATGATCTGTGCAAAAACTGAACATTATTTATAACATCATTGTTTTTAAATCCAAGCAGGATCATAACTTTTACATCATAATGTATGAATATGTGGGGCGTCACGGTGGCACAGTGGGTAGCACGATTGCCTCACAGCAAGAGGGTCGCTGGTTCGAGCCTCGGCTGGGTCAGTTGGTATTTCTGTGAGGAGTTTGCATGTTCTCCCCATGTTTGCGCGGGTTTCCTCCGGGTGCTGTGGTTCCAGACAAGTCCAAAGACATGCGCTATAGGTGAAATGAGTACGCTAAATTGTCCGTAGTGTATGAGAGTGCAGGTGTTTCCCAGTGATTGGTTGCAGCTGGAAGGGCATCCGCTGCGTAAAACATACCCTAGATAAGTTGGTGGTTCATTCCACTGTGGCGACCCCAAATTAATAAAGAAACTAAGCCGAAAAGAAAATGAATGAATAAATTAATGAACAAATAAATATGTGTGTATGTGTGTGTACGTGTTTTTGTGACATGTCAGGACACAAATCTATATAATGACATAGGTATGACACAGGTATTATAAGAAGGTGGTGAAATGAAATATGAGGACATTGCTGATGTTTCATTTCTCAAAAAGCTTATAAATCACACAGAATATTTTTTTCAGAAAGTAAAACTGTACACAGTTTCCGGTGAGAGGTGGTTTTAGGGGTATGGTGGGGTTAGCGCAATAAAAATAACAGTTTTTACAGTATATAAACAATTCACAAAAACAAACATCTGTACGTGTGTGTGTGTGTGTGTGTGTGTGTGTGTGTGTTTGTGTATAAAAATGCAGTTATGCATTTCAGCAAACTGAACGCATATCATGTTGATGCACGCAATAGTATTACATATAAAATTTTATGTAAATTAAATAAACGTGCTTTCTGGGCAATTCAAAATGCACATTTTGAGCGTAACACAAGTAACATCAACATTTGTTCTTCCATTTGCTTAGGACTTGTTATAACACTTGTTTAGCTATAAAGGCGATAGCTATGATGTCAGCATCAAGTTAGCGTGCAGGTTTTCACATACATCCATTACTGCAGTCTCAGAAATAATGGTACACAAGCTGTCACTGCTGTCATATGCTTTTAAATTAAAGGTAGTACCTATCTACTTACCTTCCATTTGCAGCCCATCACTGTGAAACATCCAAACACACTCTCGCTTACACACATACACTTTGGACAATTTTAGCT